CAAATTATTTTTTACTAGTTAGTAATAGCCCATATCCATGTACGAGTAGAAGGCCACAAGGCCATCTTGGCATCTTTGGCGTTATCACGAACACGACCACCAGCCTGCTCGGGCCTTGGATGCTTCTCAAGTTCGCTTCACGTCTCTTTCCCCACGCTCGCCGCTTAGGCACATATTTTGTGGCATTATTTAATGATGGTCTCTTTTTAGTATCATATTAACGTTGTAAATTTGTAATGATCCTGAGAAACTTTTGACATTGATGATCCCTCAAGTTTTGGGGCATCCTGTTTGAAATATTTTTTCATGAACCGATGCCATATATTTTGGGCTTGTGTGAAATTAAAGTTTTGGCCGTGCATTTGGAAACTATTATTGGTGTTTAATAATAAAGTATTGTGATGCTTAAATAGGGGTGCTGGGTTGCCCCCAAATAATGCTAATGAGATTATAACCGACATGTAATTTACATTTTCATGACAATGTTAATGCGTATTCAATTGTCATATGTTTCATAGTTGTGCTACGATAGATATCATTTGGAGATTTTTTATATCATTTTCGTATCCAAATTTCATTATTCAGAAAATTGATGATATTTTGATGTTAATACTAAGTTTCCAATGAAAATATCATTTTTATTAATAATTCCAATGATAATTTTGACACTTCTTTTTTTTTGCGAGAAAACTTCTAATCTATTCATCTTCAATTATGATAGTACAACGAATGCCAAAAAAAAAGAAAAATTACATCCAGATCTATAGAACACCTAGCAATGACTACAAGTACTGAAGCGAGCCGAATGTGCGGTGTCGTCATTGCCGCTCCCTCGCCGGAGCCGGGCAAAACTTGTTGTAGTAGACAGTCGGGAATTCGTCGTGCTAAGGCCCTATAGGACAAGCTCAACAGAACAACAAACGCCATCGATGAATACTAGCGCAGATCGAAGGATCCAACCTGAAAAGACATGAACGTAGACAAACTACAGCCAGATCTGAGCAAATCCACCAAGGACAGATCCGCCGGAGACACACCTCCATACACCCACCGATGATGCTAGACACACCATCGGAGCGGGGGCTAGGAGGGGAGAACCTTATTTCATCTTTAGGGAGTCACTGTTGTCTCGTCTTCCTGAGCAGGACACAAACCCTAACAAAATGCAAAGAAACAACTAAAAACAGAGCCCTCCCGCCGGCAAGGGCCAAGATCCACCGTGCCACCATGGCCCTAAGGCCACCGGAGACGAGGCGGACCGACGGCGGCGCCGGCGAGAGGCAGGGGAACCCTAGATTTTTCTTGGGGAGGAGGCAACCCTCTTGGTCTTAGCTAGCTAACTCAGGTATGACACTTCTTAATGATACTAGAGAATACCTCGCGCGTTGCTGCGGGAATTATTTGCAATATATTTCAGTGATTTGATTAAGCTTCCATCATTGAATTAATAATATACTCTCTCCTTCCCAAAATAAGTGTCCTGACCTTAGTACAACTTTATACTAAGGTTAGTACAAAGTTAAGACACTCATTTTGGAATGGAGGGAGTATGAACTAAAGCTAAAAATAAATATTATATATTTTATTTGATTATTGTGTAGTCAAAAAATATTTTGAATACAAGTGGCATAATGTAATGGAAAAAAAATTCATGCATGTTGAGTGGATCTTTAATGAGGTGGCATGTATGGTGAGATGGAAGGAGTGCATGAGATCAACTAATAATGAATTTTTTTCTCATACATGTAGTGGTGGGCCTTTGATGAGGTGGCATGTGTGCATGTTGAGATAAATATGATAGTGGGGATCAACTTTTTATGTATATAGGATTACTAAAGGCAACATTAGTGCCAAAATTTAATGTCAATAAGTCTATTAATTGGGAATCTTGTGTTTCCTAGACATTGGAAAACATAAGCTTATCATATGAGGCAATGTTCTCGATGGACATCATTTAAATTGAAGTTAATTTAACCAACATGAAGTTTAATGGGCACACATTCTTATGTCATAGGATGATATTCTGGACTACATTGCTTATTTCTCCATAGTGTCATTTAAAAGCACTAAGGTTTTCTTTTCATTTTTATCCATAGAGAAACAAATTAGAACAAAAGTTAAGCATATCTTTAATCCGACAATTGTATAATTCATGCCTAATGTTTTTATGATGCTCATAAAGTTGCCACCTCTTATCAGCAATGAATGCCCATTAAAAACCTAGCTGCATAGCTTCAACACGCTCTTCTCATTTCTCAAGCTGTTGAGCTCAGGCAGACAATTCTGATACGGCATGCAAGAGCTAACCGGACTCAAGTAGGAGACAAGCACGTTTGTATCACCCGGGCAAATAAAACAACCTAACAAAAGGTATTGATTGAAATATGCTCTCTAAAACACAAAACTTTTTTGTGAACATAATACAATCAAAGTCGCTTACATACATGAGCATACAACCAGCCCTACGCACGGCACGCATGCACACGCGCACATCCTACCCTTATGAGTACTTTCGAGAGACTGAGCCCGCATAACATCTCGAGAATTTACGAAATTACCACATGCGCCTCCCAGTCAACGGGAACGTCTCCTCCCACTGGACAAACATCGCCGAAAGCTTGAAATAAATTCAAGAATAATGCGAACACCAATGTCAAATCTAGGACTTAAACTCTGGTGTGCTGGGGATGCCATTGTCCTCCTAACCATGCAACCACATGTTGGTTCGCCTAAAACAAAAAACTTGGTACTATATATGTCAATCAAACTATATCAGGAGATGAACAAATGACTACCATCGAAATCACCACATGATTAATGCGAGCACCAATTTCAAGAACAAATTAGAACAAAAATTTTCAGGAGATGAACAAACGACTACCATCGAGAAATAAAGTTGCACTTAGAAACTCTTCCTTGCGCGCATGCATGAGTTTGATCATTGATAAACCCAGTCACATACACTATCATACCGGTTCTTTTCCTCCTTGAGAGAGGAGTAACCTGATCGACATGACCTGCTAGCATATGATTATGACCAGTCGCTCATTCATGCATGTGCATAAAAAACTTGCATCTCTCCAACACGTTCTTCTCATTTCCATGCAAACGATTAAGCTGAACTAGATCGACCACTGCCAAATTAAGTAAGTAGTTACCTTCTTCAACTTTGCCAATCCGCCTACAAATCTGCCATGCACCTTCGCCCCCTCTTATCATCGTCAAGCCACAGAGAGACCTAACTGCTAGCCGGTGCACCGAGGAGCTTGAGCAGGAGCAGCAGCAGAGATGGCGACGATGGACAAGTCCGGTGCCTCGGTGTTCGAGCCGGGCAAGCATGCGGTTGAGGCGATCGAGGTGGACCCCGACGACGCGGCGCCGGCACCGCCGGTCCCGGTGCTGATCGTTGCGCCCAAGGACGCGGGGACGTACCCGGTCATCATGCTCCTGCATGGCTTCCTCCTCCGCAACCACTACTACCAGCACCTCCTCCGGCACGTCGCGTCCCACGGCTACATCACGGTCGCGCCCCAGTTCAGCGTCAGCAACAGCCTGGTGCCGCCGTTGGGCGACAACGAGGACATCACGGCGGCGGCCAGGGTCGCGGACTGGCTCCCCGGCAGCCTCCCCTCCGTGCTCCCCGACGGCGTGGAGGCGGAAATTATCTTGAGCACGTACATTTACGGAAAGAAAAAAGTTGAGCACATATATAAAACAAAGAAGTGCATATTATATTATTTTTTGCGCATTATGTAAGTTGACTGAACTCGCAATTTGGGTAAGTCGATTTTGTGG